TACCCACCTCTTGTTTACAAATCGCTCGCTAGATGACGTTGTGTGTATATGCCCTAGGAAATAAAACCACTAGATGGTGCCAGTGGTTTTCGTAAGGTTGACGAACAAAGAGAATGGATTAAAGACTTAAAGAACACAGACAGCAGACAGACGGACGGACGGACGCTTCGCCCCACTCATCATCTTCACTCCGTGGATATGCTGTGAATTCTTTAGTTATAGTTCATGCATAGTGCTTGTCTTTCTGATCGATGACGATGAAAGCAGGGACATCCGTGCGAGCGACTGTGACTGCCATGCCGTTCTCGAAGGAAAATATAAACGTGCCACTCATGGCTGGCTGATCGCGTTATATGATAATGTGGATGAACCGCCGCTCTAGCCACAGGCCAAGCAGAAAAAAACATTTGCATCCGAAAAGTTATTGTTCCGTGATTACAGCCCTATGCGAGTGCGTGAGAGCATCGCGCCCAGCTTGCGCTTGTGGCCGCTAGAGGAGCCTTTGTGCACAGCGGAGTCATACAGAAACATACTTACGTAAAGAGCCGACACTCCCGCATGGCCTTGCGGCCGAGCTACTGCACTGCTTTCAGCGCCACTAGCAGCAGGCCAGACACGATATTGTCTTCGGAGCAAATAAAACAACCAATACATTTTGTTCCGATGCTGGGATTTGAACCTGTATTTTTATGCTCCAAAAGCGAGTGTCTTTACTAGGCTACACACCCATACTTCCACAAAGAGAATATATGTACACTACATCTAAATATATGAATGTGCACCCATTGTGCAAAAAATGTAAAAGGACAACATTTTCTTGTCGGACGTGACTTATTTTTGTAGTAACGCATTAAACGTCCTCAGCAGGACAGATGTAGAGATGATATAGAGAACTGCACAAATCAATAATTTATTTCTTTGGAAAAAATTGATTGCAAAAGTAGATCTTCATAGTACTTCTGAGGTGGTTATTACGTGTGTTGACTAACGAGTAGAAGCGAGCATGGGTGCGCAATCTAAAGGTTGGTCAGACCCTTCCTTGCTCGGCCGTGAAAAGATTCGATTGGCGACTCTGTAAGAAGGTATATTTCTCTATGGCGGAGATACGTATACGTTTTCATGGAACCTATACCTGAGCACTTATCGTGGAAACATTACTGCAGTATTTTGAACAATGTGCTTGCCGCACATGAGTGGTTTATTTTCTGATGACAATTATCTTTCCAAACAGGACCTGTCACCGATGCACTCGTCACAGGCTCCAAAGGACTTCCAGGTGGAGCAGCACACACCTTTACTGTAATGGCCTTAGAGAAGGGTGAACCTAAATGGTATCGAAAACATGTGGGCCCACTTCAAAGCTGCCTTATCTCCTCTATCCCTAAATTTCTCACCACTTGGGCTGCAGTCAACCTCTAATGCGAAAGGATCACCACAAATATGTTGAATAACTTTATGACTCACTGCCCTTCAGAACAGCTACAGTTGTTGCTGTCAGTGGTGACATGACTTGATAATATGTATTTGTAAGAAAGTCGCGCCCGTTTATCTTTTCGCATTGGTTTTTCTTGTCTATTGTGGGCATGTGGAAGTGTTTCCAAGAATGACTAGATATTAGAATTGTTCATAATTTTTTCTTGTAATGCGTTTGCTTAACTTTATGTGCAAGATTATAGTTTTTCGCTCAGTAAAGAGTTCCGATATAAATTGTCCCATATACTCATTTTTTTCACTCACGCACCAGATTTTAATCTAGACGGACCTTGAAATGCAGGATGCATCAGCTTAGCAGACAAAAATGTGGCTAGCAGACCATGAGTAGGCGTGCCTATGATGCTCAACGCTAAGAGCGTATCGCAGGGCACAAGGACACATGCAGGACACGTGCAATGTTTCCAACGATGGTTGTTATGCGGGGCTGAAAGTGCTGTCGGCCACTCAATCGCAGGTTAATTTCTACAGTGGTCCCTAATATACGCTTGTCGCGAATTATCTGAGTTTTACACGGCCACAAGACTCGCGCCATACGCTTGCACTTTCGTCTGTGCCCTCCATGTTTGCTTGGAATTGGGTGCAACAGACAAACAAGAGCTGTGCGCTAAAAAAATGTTTTACATTTCGTTAGAGACGGAAAAACAATGATGATGAAGATTTCTGGAGTTTAACGTACCAAAACCACTATATGAGTATCAGAGACGCCGTAGTGGAGGGCTCCGGAAATTTCGACCACCTGGGTTTCTTCAACGTGTAGCCAAATCTGAGTACACGGGCCTACAACATTTCCGCCTCCATCGGAAACGCAGCCGCCACAGCCGGGATTTGATCCCGCGATCCGCGGGTCAGCAGCCGAGTTTCTTAGCCACTAGACCACCGTGGTGGGGTGACGGAAGAACAATGCCGATACGAAAGCAGCAGAGGTTTTTAACCCTGTCGAGCCAGTGGCCATGCTGAACGGCTCTAAACCCAAGTTTTCAAGGCATTCACAAAGCTACGTAGGTCTAGTCAACGTCTACCGCAGGTTTCTGCCGGGGCTGTCAGTGTGTGTTTCGGTGGATATATCTCTTGCAGTTTCTTTCACACGACAGACTGAAATTAGCCCGAGGGAAATCTGACGAGGCTTCACGCTGTCTAAAAAGCTAGTCGAAACAGCATGAAACGCACTAACACTAATGGTTCCTTGCTAGGCAAGGCATGACTTGACTCTATGCTATAGAATAAAGAACCACAAGAACGTGCAGTCACAAGTATTCAGCCTAATACTTCAGACAAATTGTGAAGCCCGATGAGCAATAAACACTTACATGTCTAACACTGATGATCAACCTAACATTGCACATATTTTTTACAACACTCACACCATCTAGTGGATGCGTGTAAGAATACGTTTTAGGTAATCATGACCGCTCTTCCTCACGCCCGAATCGCCCGAGTGTCCTCAACCTATATTTTTTTCGCTATGGTTGAGAGCGTTGTCAAGAGGCCACCTTCCCGAGATGCGCAATGAAGTGTCTTCGCACACTCGGGGCGCGGTAGCTGATTGGAGCATTGTACTAGCAGTAGCTGAACGGAGAGTGACCGATCATTCAGTCCTTGCAACAAGTTAAAAGGTGCTTGTCACTCATAAAAACTTGTTACCGGGCTAACTGATTCATAATGCTCAACTGCTTGTCTTTCAAACGTACATCGAGGACATGACATAGTCGATGTCACTGTTTGTCTCGATGCCATGCAAGTCGCATATAACACTGCCAGCCTTTACAATCGATGTAGTGCATCCCTTCGTGAAGTGAACTCGCGTCGACTAAGTCTGAATGGAGGCCGTAGTAACCAGGAAGGGTCCATGTTTTATGTTTTGTGTGGTTCACTTTGCCAGTGAGGTGCAAATGGACAGGTTTCAAAGCTGCCTAAAAATGCATGCTCTGGAAAATAAAAATTGAGCGAGACAATTGAGCACGAGTTCGTTACTCGAAAGCACAAAATATTGCTGGAGAGTATGCCAGTGTCAAGACCATAAAAAATGTTATCAGAAAATTGAAAGGTTTACTTGCAGCAGCAGGAATAATTAAAAAATATTTAAAGCACTGTAGGCTATTCAAAGCGTCTTAAGAAGCCATCGCGTGGTAACGCGCTGATGCACGGAACCTACGGCCCTATTTCTATGGAGACGGAATATATAACATGATTATTTGATAAGTGGAGTGTAACCTCCCAAAACCATCATATGATTATGAGAGACGCCGTAGTGGAGGGCTCCGGAAATTTCGACCGCCTCAGGTTTTTTAACGTGCACCCAAATCTGAGCACATGGGCCTACAACATTTCTGCCTGCATTGGAAATGCAGCCGCTGCAGCCGGGATTATATCCCGTGACCTGCGGGTCAGCAGTCGAGTACCTTATACACTAGACCACGGCGGCGGGGCCGGAATGTAAAACAGCTCTTGAATTTTTTTATATGTGCACTCTGAAGAAGCTCACATATTCGTAGGTAAACCACAGCGCGTAATTACGGCCTCTATAGCAGTGAAGGCCATTGTTGTGCAATAGAGCATCGAGCTTGCATTGCCTGAAACTCCTAAAATATACTTAATATTTACACTAAAGAACCCTCACCCAGCCTCTTCAAACAGAAAAAAAAAACGAGCGCATTATTCACTCCTGGCGTTTTTCCTGTTTATTGCGCACATCATGACGCAGACTGTACTTTCTGTGGCGTCGCTTAGCGGCATGCTCTCGATTGGTCCATGTAAGCGAAACATGAGATCACAGCTGCATTTTTGAAGATGGCGAAAATGTTTTAGACCCGTATACTTATATTTAGGTGCGCGTTAAAGAACCCCAGGTGATTTAAATTTCCGGAGTCCTCCACTACGGTATTCCTCATAAGCATATTTTTTTTTTCGCTGGCACTGCCTTGCCATGCGGCTGCCCATTCGTTCTACCTTGTTTCACATCACTATCCTGCGCGATCAGCTGACTTCATTTGATTTTGTGTGTTTACGACTGTGCAAGCTGTGATAGCAGCGTGTAGCCAAGAAACGTGAAATCTTGATAGGCTCGAGCGCTTAGTGCTGACATTGTTCGCGTGCTTTCAATAAATAAGTGACGAGGAGGATGCATTCGCATGTGCGAAGGGTAGTAGAGGAGATGTGGAAACCACTCTCTCGTCTTTGAACGCGGGTAGGAGGGGCCCTTTAAGAACGCTGCAGACATGCACGCGTCAGCACAAAGTGATCACCACAGTTCGTTATAATGTTCGCACCAGCCCTAACGTCCATGTAAATTGAAGACCGGGTATGTGACCAAGTCTCAAAGGGGGGTTGTTCGTTCAAGGCAAACGATAACGTAGCTACGTAGCATTATACGTATCAATATTAACTGGAGTGGATTTCTACCTTTCTTCGTTTGTTAAGAGGGGGATCCTGTGTCCGCGAAAAGCAAATATGAGGAGCATGTTCAGTGTAGCGCAAACCGACGTAAAAGAAAACAGGAAACACACCGGTGGGTGCAGTTTTTTTATAAGCACGGTGCTTTATTACACATATTAGTCCCTAAATCAAATTGTGGGTTGGTGTTAGTTTGCGGTGTCCTTTTCAGGTCCTGATAACGTGAAAAAATGGCTTCCAAGAAGGCCTTATACGGTACACCGACATGACCGCTAGGCGATTGTCCGGCTGTCGCCCACAATGATGCTGTACAGATCGACCTGGAACCCGGCCAGCCAACCGTCGGACAGCGTTAGCGCTTCGTGCAGGGCGTCGGCGACGTCGTCTGTGCTTGGGTAGGGTGACAGCACGCCATAACGGTTGCGCCGCCGTCGCCAGAACAGCGTGAAGTCCACTTGAATGCGTACGCCTTCGTGTCCTGGACGTAGCAGGCACCTGAAGTCTTCAACCAGTGAGCCACTGTACCTGCTGGCCACAGTCTTATTTCCGTATATGGAATCCAGCTTATTTTCCAGGCTCTTGACAGTATCTAACTTGTAAGCCGAAATTGCAGCAGGTGTGCCCACCACGCAGTAGTTGCTGTTATTTGGGGCCATTTCAAGGGAGCCTTCGACAGCCACCAACACTCCGCGAGGAGGCTCGACATGCAGTAGCATTGCGACGCAGGCGAGGCACACCGCGATGGCGACTAGCAGCAGCACGCAGAAGGCGCACACGAGCCGCGCGGTGAGTCGGCGTCTGTAGTGTCTGGTCTCGAACGCCTTACCGCCTATCGAAACATCGGGAAGGTACACGTCCGAGCTCATCCTTTCCAGAGAATCCGTTTCGGGAGATTCTGTTGTTGTTGCCGCGTCCATCGTGGTGGGATGCGAAAGCGTGCATGTTTCAGCCTTTCCAATGCTGCTCCATTCACATTCCGACACATGCCTGGCTCTGTCCCCAGCAGCAAAGAGGCGCAAGGTGCAAGCATCACCGTCTTCAGGAGGTCGCTGGTCCGAGGGCTCATTCGGCCGTAGAGGTGTCGATTGCCAGCGAGTAGCCATGAGCCCACGATGAAACGGGTGTTGAGACAAGCGGCTAGCTGCGACGGACGAACGCGCCCGCTTCGTGCGTCTGGCTTATTTCGATAAGCAGTGTGTCACTGAAAACGGAAAACGTCGGAAGCCGAAGCAGTGGCCGATTCACGTGCTTTCGACGTCACACTTGCAGATACACTTGAAAGGAAGAAAAAAAAAAGGCCGTGTAAAACGAGTGTCATTTTGTGTGGTAAAAATAACTGTCGCCAGGCTAACTTGCGTTTTCTTTCTTGAAAACTCGGAGCCCGACACTTTCGTATTAAGAATGTCATGTCACGCTGATAGCACGTACTCGTGCTCTATTCTATGGTGAGCGCACAGCTTGTGGCCTTTATTTACTGATCTCGCAGTAATAACAGGTAATAATGCCAGGAAAATTGCACTACAGATGCATTTTTTCAATAATACAGATGTTTTATCTAATCATAAAAGAGCAAATATCTTGTAATTTCTGCACACGAGCTTTACGGCGAAGCGAAAAAACGTCACCGCAGGCAAAACGATTGATATGTGTGGTTTGACGTTCCAAAACCATCATAATAATTATGAAAGACACCGCAGTGGATGGCGCTTGAAATTTCGACTACCTGGGCTTCTTTAATCTGCAACCAAATCTGAGAGCATGGGCCTACAGAATTTTCGCCTCCATCGAAAATGCAGCCAGGATTCTATCTCGTGACGTGCGGGTCAGCAGCTGAGTACTTCAGCCACTAGATCACCGCGGAGGGACGCAGGCAAAAGGGCATCGAAGTGACTGATTTACAAAGGCTCGTTTTTAGTTATTGGCTGCAGAGCAGCTCTTTATATTAGAAAGTTGTAAATTGTCACAATTTGTGACATACCCGTTTTTTGTGGGAAACCACTGATGTCGCAAGCAATTTGAAATATTCCCTGCAGGTCGCGGGATCAAATCCCGGCTGTGGTGGCTGCATTTCCGATGGAGGTGGAAATGTTGTAGGCTCGTGTGCTCAGATCTGGATGTACGTTAAAAAAACCCAGGTTGTCGAAATTTCCGGAGCCCTCCACTAAGGCGTCTCTCATAATCATATGTTGGTTTTGGAACGTTAAACCCCACATATATATAAAACCAATTTGAAATATTCATAGTGCAATTTCAAAGGCGTAGTTAAAACTGATCGCGCTCATGGGACGCTGGAAACGTGGCAACTCTGTTACGTCAGGCCGGAGCTTTCCTTGCCAAAAAAGTTTCCAAATTTGAATGAACGCACGTCGTGACCATCTATATTCATTTGAAAAAGCAAGTAATCTCGTGTTGGCAGCCCGCCTAAACTTTGCGTAAGAAAACGCAAGAAAACAACAATATGAACCTTTCCTATTTCCTGAAGCATAAAACACTGGTGCTGCTACTTCGCGTGGTACATTTTCGGGCAGATAGACAAAATAGTTGTTCGTGCTTGATTAGCGTTCAACAAAAGAAGTATAAGCACCACATATCACACGCAACTAGAGAGCTGTCTGTTTGTGTATTTCAGAATACTTGCTGATATTCCCTACCAGATTCTGTGTCAAAGCGCTTAGATTCAAATTTCATCCCGGACAGTTCCGATCTTACGTAACAGAGCAGCCGCGTTTCCTGTGCGTCATTCGCAGTAAATTTCTACATCATTAGATTTACACTATAAGTATGTGCAATTATATTCCAGGCTTGATTGATGATGAGGTTTAACATCCCGAAACCACCATGTAAATATGAGAAACGCGTAGTGGAGGGCTCCAGATATTTGGACCACCTGGGGTTCTTTAACGTGCACCAAAATCTGAGCACACGGGCCTACCACCTTTCCGCCTCTATCGGAAACGCAGCCGCTGCAGCCGGGATTCAATCCCGCGACCTACGGGTCAGCAGCTGAGGTATTCCAGGCTTTCGTAACCTCTAAAAAACAGCTTACAATGACTGTTGGGGTTTTACGTCCCAAATCACGATTGGGCGATTATAAGGGACTCCGTAGTGGAGGGCTGCGGAAATATCGACCACCTGGGGATTTTGAACGTGCCCCGAAATCTAGGTAGTACATGATTTATATGTGTGGTTTAACGTCCCAAAACCACCATATCATTATGAGAGACGCCGTAGTGGAGGGCTCCGAAAATTTCGACCACTTGGGGTTCTTTAACTTGCGCCCAAATCTGAGAACACGGGCCTACAACATTTCCGCCTCCATTGAAAATGAAGCCGCCGCAGCTGGGATTCGATCCCGCGACCGGCGGGTCAGCAGCCGAGTACCTTAGCCACTAGACCACGGCGGCAGGGCATCTAGGTAGTAGACTGAGCAAAATATATGTAAATATTTGTCGACACGCAGCCGGCGTGCTCGGGATTTTATACCTCGACTTTTCAGTCCGCATTTAATCCCCATAATCCTTCCACCTTCGTGGCGCGTTTCAGAAAAAAAAGTAATACACCAAAAGGGATCACTGAATACAACTTTCTAAATAATAAAGAGAATGGCTTTCCAAAGAAGACCTAAACGTTTCTTTGTGAGTGTTTGTTATTACGAGGAAAGCAGCTCTTACCTGCCCTCCTTGTAATATGTCTTTGTTGCGGAATAAAAATTCAATTTCAACTACTCACTTTAGCTCTGGCATATCGTTTGCACACTGACGTACATTTCGTTTTTGAAGACGACAGCAGCTTGACTGTTATAGCGTTTTTAATAAAGCAAAAACAAAAACTGTTTTGCGAAAAAAAAACGTTCTGTATAGAATGCTGCTTGCACATGCTTTAAAGATTGAGTTATTTAGGCATAACAGCCTGCAGATCCCAACGTTTCTGTTAAAACACATGATAGATATAGAAGTAGCTATTGACAAAAGCAAAAAATATCGAATCAGGTAAGGCGTTTCGAACATGACAGAGGTCCACGTAATACTGCCTGCATCATAAATGCAATATATATGTTTGAACGCCATGCAGCGTATTTTTTTGGGGTAAGTTCAATTCCTTTTCACTATGTCATATATGAGTCAACATGCCTTCTCAGCTTGAACACATGGGCTGTGGTAGTTCAGCAGGACATACGCTATATAACTATAGTAAAGGTTCTTTAAAAAACTTAAGCGGATTTTTATTAGGCCTAAATTCAGAAAAAAATAGCTAAACCAAATCTTATAATATAGAAAGGTAATGAAAACGTCTAGCTTGAAGTTAGCCTTTTCAGGGTTCTATATATAGTTCGTACACCGCAGCAAAAGTTTCAGTGACTGTTGTCGCAGCGGCAGAGCTGTCAGGCGTGCATTAGAAAGGATTGCAGCACCACCACGACCACAGACTAAACGACTGTTTTATTTACGGGATGGGTAACAACGCGTGCACCACGTATACGGTCTCACCGTCAGTGTCAACAACCAGGCGCTACGAGTATCACGTTTGCGAGCACTGTACAGTGGCGCAGTCGTTCTATTTCCGCGCTGTGTATGTTTAAAAAAAACCTAAAACCAGTTCATATAGTGCCTATTTTTCTTAGTGCGAAGAAAATCTCACCCGTCAGTGATCTCATCTCTAAATTGTAAAGCGGAACACGCCTTAAAACACTTGTAATCGCAGTTTTCCTATCTGCAGTGAATATGAAGTCGTATGCTCACATGCTACTAAGAGCGTGTGGACGGTTTGTGCTTTGATTTGATTGATATGTGGTGTTTAACGTCCCAAAACCACCATATGATTATGAGAGACGCCGTAGTGGAGGGCTCAAGAAATTTCGACAACCTGGGGTTGTTTAACGTGCACCCAAATCTGAGCACACGGGCCTACAACATTTTCGGTTCCATCGGAAATGCAGCCGCCGGAGCCGGGATTCCATCCCGCGATCTGCGGGCCAGCAGCCGAATACCTTAGCCACTAGACCACCGCGGCGGGGCCTCATGCTCTTTTCGTTTCCACTATTATCTAATCAAAAACTCGGGCCAGCTGTAGGTGCTGGAAAGGAAAGAGAAAGCTAAAAAGTTGGTGGAACAAAAGCATCGGGACAGATCCAGCTTTCACGGATATTTAACGTTTAGTTTGCGTGCCTTCCACTAACGTTACTAGATTCTTAGAAGAATCTAATAACGTTGCCTTCCACAACGTGCCATATGACTTTCACCTTTTTGAATCTACCGCGAAGTCAAGAAATGCTCGTGACAAGAAACAAAAGAAAGAAAAAAGAGACATGGCTTGGTCTGCCGCCGTTTATCGCTAATGGCGACATAGATAAGATCGGCGAGTTGTAAAAAAAATGGCAGCATATCCACGGGGTGAGTGATGGAGAGTGGAGCGAAGCATCCTTCCCTCCATTCGATCGTGCTTCCGCCTGTCCGTGCGTGCATCTGTTCGTGCGTCCGCACGTCCATCCGTGCGTCCATCCCTGCGTTCATCCGTGCATCCGCCCCTGCGTCCGTCCATGCGTCCATCCGTCCGTCCAGCCATCTGTGCGTCCGTCCATGCATCTGTCTGTGTGTCCATTCGTCCATCTAGTCAACACTCCAAGCACCACCATAGCGCATCTTTTCATCATATATTCCGCATATAGAAGCACTGCCATCCAGCGGACATTCCAAGGACTAAACGAGAGGTGGCGCACGCACACTTTCTTACGGCTTGAGATTCGTGTCTACTTTCAACCTTTAACCACCTCGAGTTCATGGTATATACTAGTTCACTGTATTCATGGAAAGGCGGCCCAAAGCTCGCTAAACATTTTTAAAACCAAAGAGGTTATGCCCAGCGAGTATAACATAGCAACACTTTCTTGTCAGATAGTGCTCAATGTACATGCCAATGGCTGCTAATGGGGAATGAGAGGAGAATTCGGCTTTTAGTTAACGCACACGCTGCGATTTTTTTATTGTTCAACAACGCACGGGAGAAATCTCCCACCGGCAGCACCTTGCAGGTCAAAGCTTAAAACATGTTACGCACTACTACGAGAAACGAACGGGTGCCACATTAAGCAGCTTCACCCCTAAAAGAGTCAAGTCGTTCCCCGATTCGAATTAATCATCCTACGTATTAGACGGAAAGAAAAGAGCGCTACCCGACTGCACCGAAAATT